TGGCTCTTTTCCTACCTGTCTGGCCACCATTTTGGTGGATCTTTTTCATCCAGGTCACTCCCATTATTTTGTTTGGTCATCTCATCAACTCCCCTGGGTTCAATTATGGTCTCTATGTAAATGATGCCCAGATTTATGTAACCAGTCCTAAGCTCTCGCCAAAGCTCTAGTCTTGAGTCAGCAACTGTCTATTAGCTATTTCAAACCAAATGTTCCATAGGTACTTCAAATACAACATGTCTAAAACTGAAACTCCAAACACCCCCTCCTAATTCTAAACTTCCTATTATTATTTCCCATTATCAGTCTTGCCATTTCACCATTTTTTTAAGGCAATTGGGGTTAAGTGACTTGCCCAGGGTCACACAGATAGTAAGTGTCAAGTGTTAAGTCTGACGCCAGATTTGGACTCAGGTCCTCTTGACTCCAGGGCCAGTGCTCTATCCACTATGCCATTCACCATTCACTGCCCCTTTACCATCGTCTTTCACAGCATCTCTCATCTATCGTCCCCTTCTCTACACTCACACAATCACCACTTTGGTGGAGGCCCTCATCACTTCACACCTGGACTATTGCAATAGCCTACCGGTTGATCGCTCTGTCTTGAGTCTCTCTCCACTCTAGCCCATCTTCCACTCAGCTTCCAGTGATCTTTTCTCCCTATTACCTATGTAACAGTGGGAAAGCTATTTCACTTAACTGAATATTCTCTTTCTCTGGCTTTTGTGTCATGGCTGGCTCTCCTCTTGCCTGTCTGACTGCTCCTCAGTATGGAAGCATCTCAGTGTTCTGTCCTGGGACATCTCATTCTATAGCTTATCTCGCTTGCTCCCATGGATTCAATAATCATCCCTATGCTGAAGACTCCCAGCTCTACACATCCAGCCTTGGTCTTTTCCTTGAGTTCCATTTGAGCATGAATAGCTACTTTTGGGACTTCTCAAACTGGATGCCAGCCACATAGGCACCTCAAACACAACATGTTGAAAACAGAACTCAAAGGGGCAGCTAGGTGGCACAGTGGATAGAGCACCTGCCCTGAAGTCAGGAGGACCTGAGTTCAAATCCGATCTCAGACCAGACACTTGACACTTACTAGCTGCGTGACCCTAGGCGAGTCATTTAACCCTGTTTGCCTCACTAAAAAAAAAAAAACAAAAAAACCAGAACTCATGATTTTCCACCTCGTTTCCCAAACTCTGTCCTCCTTCCATCTTGCCAGTTTCTGTGAGGGCACCACCATCTTTCTAGTCTCCTAGGTTTGAACTCTGAGTCATCTTCACCCTCTTCCTTCTCCTCTTCCCCATATCCTACCAGTTGCTAAGTCATACTGACTGGTCCTCCATAACATCTCTCCCACCTGTCCATTTCTCTCCACTCACATGGATGCCACCCTAATTCAGATCTTTATCACCTCTCTCCTAGACTCTAGTAACAGCCTCCTCTCTGCTTCGAGTCTCTCCCCTCTCCAATTCAGCCTCCATCCAATTCATTCTTTTTAATTATCTTTCATATCTCTTTCTTACATCACTTTCATTTTCCAATTTTCCACCTTTTTCCCCATCCAACAAGCCATCCTTTGTAACAAAGAATATAAGAAAAGGAGAAGAAAGCAGGATAGCAAAACAAAATAACAACATTAACTGAGTCTGACTGTATAAAATAGTCCACACCCATAGTCCTCCACCTCTGCCACAAAAGGAGGTATCACGTCTGTCTCTTAGAATCCTTGGCTTCCTTTAATACTCATCTCTTGTGCTATCACTTGCAGGAAGCTTTTCCATCTTTGTCCTCCTGAGATGATCCTTATTTATTTACATATGTACACATTATATATCATCCCCAGCCCAAACCTGAAGAAATCCAAACCCCTTAAGGGCAGGAACTGGTTCTCATTTTTCTGTTTGTACCCCAGCACCTGGAGAAGTGTGTGGCACACAGTAGGCACTACAGAAATGCTGGTTGTGTTGAGCCAGCTTCAGCTCTTCTGATTTTCAAGGCACCATTGTGCAGTGGTAAGGGCCCTGGGCTGAAAGTCAGGAGACCTGAGTTTCTAGTCTTGCCTGTGTTACTTTGGGGCTGGGTGACCTTGAGCTAGTCATCTATCTTATCTGGGCCTTGGGCCCCTCAAGTGTCAAACGGAGAGATTCAGCCTGGAAGAGCTCCAAGGTCCCTTCCAGCTTGTACATTCTCAGAGTCTGGGAGATTAGGGGGAGAATTCAAGGCCCAGGGGGCCCTGGGGAGGTCAGCTGCAGAGCTGTCTGAAAAGGCGGCAACAGCGTTGGCTAGATCTGCACACCCGAGCACAAACGCACATGCATACATAGGCAAACACCAAACATGGAGAGGGAACCACACTAGGGCTGAGGCCAACAAATGGCCAGTTATTCAGGGCATGTTTATGATCCTGAAAGGCCTTGGCAGAATGAGGCCAGGTTGCTATGAATATCTTCTTTTTAGGTGTCTAACAGGCATCCATTTACTTGGCCTGACAGAGGTGGGACCTTTATGTTTGGGGGGGGGTGGGTCTAAGTACAGCCAACCCCAATCCAAACATCCAAGTGGAAAAGTTTGCAAGTTTCTCCTTCAAAGCCCCCCAAAGAACCAGTCTGGAATGTGGAGAGCTTAATATAAAAATAAATGAGGGAACACAGAGCAAATAATGAATGGAAAACATTATCTGGAAAAAAGGAAGCAAGGAAGGGCCAGGAAAAGAAAAGTCCACTTGCTGCTCTGTGACTTTGGATGAGACTCAGAGAGGAGAAGTTACCTGCCCAAGGTCACACAGTTTATTGGTGGCAGAATTAGAACTCAAACCCAGGTATCCTGAGCTTCTTCTCTTGGGTGGTTAGGGAAGGCTTCCTGAAGAGGCAGACCTTGAAGGATTAGGAGAAGGAGCAGGGGAGGCAACATTGCAAAGGAAAGGAATGGCTTTTGAGTAAAGCTTTCAGCTCTGTCCCTAGCTTGCTGTGTGGCCTCTGTGAAGCTACCCTCCCTCTCTGGGCTTCAGTTTCCTCACCTATAAAATTGGGGATTTGGATTAGATGATCTCAAGACTTCTCCTGGCTCCAACACTCTATGGTTGTTTGGTGGCTATCTATCTATCTGTCTATCTATTATTGACTTCTTTTTTTTCCTCGGGCCCATGTTGTCCAACCCCAGTTGAATTAATTATTACTTGGTTCAAAAAGAATAGAAGCGCTTAAAACTACAATCAATTCATTTTCAGAGCCCAGGACATGCCAGCCCTACTCTTGGTCCGTCCTCATGGCTCCTCAGGGCCAGGATATAGCTTCAGATGGGGGCCCCAGTCTTATTCCCAAGACTGCATCCTCCCAGGCTCAGAAGCTGTCACAAATGTCAGTCCATCAATCAACCAAGCATTCAGTGAGTTTATACTGTGTGTGCCTAGTCTTGGGTTCAGCGATAGGGGGGAACATGGAGGAAGACACTCAGGGCTTGTTCCAAGAGGGTCCCCAGTCTGTTTGGGGAGATAGTCCTTATCCACAAACAGCACTCAGTGGGCAACTGAGGACCAAACTCTGAATTACAAATGCTAAAGGCCAGAAGAGCTTAGAGGAGTAAGAAAGCAATGGGGGTTGGGCTGGGGTATCAGCTAAGGCTTCCTGAAACAAGTGAGGCTTGAACTGTGGGTTGGATTAGGATGGGCATTCTGGTTGGAATAGCTGGAGCAAAGGTGGGAATGAGGCTGTCATAGATGGGCTCCAGAGGAGAACAGATTTAGAACCAAAAGGGACTTAAAAGTCATTTTGTTTGACTCCCTCATTTTAGGAAACTTACCAGGGAGTTGAAGGGACTTGCCCAAGATCATATGGATTGGAAGTAGAAGATGTGGCATTCAAACACAGGTCCTCTGCCTCCAAATTCAGTGAGAAGACCAGCCAGGCTGGAGCAGAAAATCCCTTTTAGGGAACATTTGGGAACTTCCTTGTATTTCTATTATCCAAGGATTTAATGAAACTTTCTAGCCTCTGTTTGTGTTTTCTTCCTGTCCCTTCTACGACAATCTAGAAAGAAGTTCATTTGGTAGCCTAGGTTGGGGAATGGAGGAAAGGTACCATTCTACATTTTCATATTAACAATAGAAGAGATTATTCTTTGGAGCAAGATTTATGGAAATACCATACCTAGGGCACAGCTCAGTGCCCTCCAATGTCAAATGTTATTAATGGTTTCTTATAAGGGAAGAAGAGGAGTTTAATGGTTGGTGGGGGAGAGGAGAAATTCAGAGTGTTGGAAAAGCATGAGTAATATAAAGGCATCATGATAAAAGAGAAAGAGCACAGGACTTGGCATCTGAAGACAAGGGTTTAAGTCCTGGCTCTTTCAATTTGCTAGTTATGTGACAGTGAACAAGTCATTTTACCTTTCTGGCCTTCCTCTGTAAACCAGTGATAATAATACTTATGCTATCGTGGGAGGAAAGTACTTTGTAAACCTTAAAGTTCAATTAAAATGGTAGGTATTCTTATGATTAAATCCCTACCTCAGGTCGGACGGGATCTTCAATGCCCACAACAGCAATGCAGGTGAGTTCTCCCACAATCTCCGTCTCATTGTCCCATTCGGGCTCCTGGCCTGCAGAAAAGTCCCGGTAGGCAATGCAGATGGTACGTAAGCCATCACAGGCCATTGGCTCAATGACCTTCTTCACCATCTCATCCCTGTCCCGAGGACGGAAGCTGCGCAGCTCTCCATTGCTGTTTAAGATATTGGTGCATCTGCAGAAGTGGGGTAAAGGACAGAAGTGTAGGAAAGGAGGGGGTAGGCGAAAGGGAAAAACAAAACAGCAAAATTGATGAAACAGAGAGTGAGTTGGTGAGAATCAAAACTGCTCTGTATTCCCCAATTCATGTAAGGTTGTTGCTAAACATAGTTTGAGAAGTGTTCCCACAAGTAGGTTTTTGGTCAGTTGGAATTTAAGTGGAAAAATACCAAGGGTCTTCTGTCATCAAACTTTTAAAAATCCTAATTTTAAAAATTCAAAGCACCTAAGATTCCAGAGATGAGAAGGGCCCTTATAAATCATCTAGTTCAACTAGAGCACCAGTGGGACTTTTCTCCTGCTGCCTATTGTGGTTGTTGTTCGTTCTTTGTCCTCAAAGAGGACCATGACATCAGGAAGATGACGCCATGACTTGCATGTGAATTGGATTTAAGTGAGGGAGGGCTGGGCAAAGTCATCAGTCTCACTCTCTCCTCCGGAGCTATCTTATAGATCAGGATGACTGGAGATAGCCCCCCTTTCAAGCTAAGGTCTTTCCCAGGTCTCAGTTTGTCTGAGGCAACACCCATTCAGTGATTAAGGCTAGGTAAAAATGAGGCAAAGAATGGCTTTTTTTACCTAGTCAAAAAATAAAATAAAATAAAATCAATCTGGGAGGAGAAGACCCTCAGGGTTTCTGGCCAAAACAGTAAGCCTATTGAAAGCAAGGAATGCAGAAGAGAAAAATTGATTTGGGAAATGAACAAGTAGTTAAGAAGATGGAATCTGAGGATGGCATTTAGATTTCTGGGACACAGCTTAAAAGATAGGAATGACAGGCTCTTGGATGGGGATGGAGTGTACCTAACAAAGGTGGTGACGATGTATTTACTTGATGTTTTGCAAACTGACTCAAAAGTGTGGGGGAGGGAGAAAACTACCTACCTGCCTATCAAAATCACAGAGAGGAGAGTAGCAGCTAAAACACCCAACAGTTTACAAGAGAAAAAGTCCAAGAAAGTAACCAGCCATAAAACCCACCACTCAGATATCTAAACCCAAAGGCCCAAAGTTTAGTTAACAAGCAAGAGCAACCAGAAGTCCTAAATGCATGGGGGCAAACTAACCTCACAGGTATCACTGAGATTTGGCGAGATGAAATTCATGACTCAACTATAGCTTTGGAAGGGAATACTTTATTCAAAAGAAATGGGACACACCATGGGGCCAGGGGTAGCAATCAATATTAAAAAGGTATACTCATGTGAGGAAATCCAGAAACCATGGGTAGAGGTGAGGGGGAAGGCTTGGTATATAGCATTTGAGACAAGATCAAAGGAGAGAGAAACAAAAGTGATTTTGTCATTGGAGTGTACTTCAGACTACCTGGATAGAAAGAGGACATAGATGAAAAGTGTGGGAAACAGATCACAAGACTGGCACAGAGGAATGAGACAGTAATGAAAAGGGACATAAGTGAGTAACTCCTTACTTTGCCTTAATGATAATCCCATTTTCCAAAAGGCAGAGGAACCATGACTAAGTTGCATCTATCTACACCTTCCTTTTCTCATTGTCACCACCCTAGCCCAAAGTAGGAGTAGTTAGGGCAGGAGAGAGATTTTAGCTTCTTAACAATCCAAGTTGCTCCAAAGTGAGGTAGGCTGCCTTGGGAGATGTGGGCTTGAGGGGCTCCCCCTCACTGGTGGGACTGTTGTTCCTTGGATGGGTGGGACTAGATGACCCCCGACTTTCCTCCCAGCTCTGAGATTCTGTGCCCTCGTCCACTCCCTTGGGTCCCCCTCTCTCCCTAGCTAGATGGGGAGCTCCTAGCCTTCCTTGGAAAGGCACGATTTCCATTCTGCCATCTGTCCTCCTCCCTGTCCTTCAAGGCCCAGGTCAAGTCCCACCTCATCTGACCACTGTTAGAAGAGCAGCTTAGTGTGATGAAGAGAACATTGGATTTGAAGACAAAGGAATTGGGTTTAGGTCCTGCCTCTGACACATCCTAACCATATGACCCTGGGGCAAGTCACTTACCATCTTGACTCTCTCTGTCTCTTGCTCTTTCTCTCTATCTCTGTCTCTAGGTATATAGATAGATATCCTAGAAAAGGGATGTGAGTGTGGGGAGCTTGGCCTGACTAGAGCAGAGGGGAGGGAGTTAGTCATAGGAAGTAAGGCTGGAGGTGTAAGTAGGAGGCCAGATGGTAGAGGGCCTTGAAAGCCAGGTTGAAGAGCTTGGCTTTCACAGTAGGCACTGGGGAACCAGTACAGGAATAAGTGACAGCCTCAAAGCCCAACAGAAGGCAGGGGGTTGCTACTCACTTTTTGAGAAGGATTTCTGAAGCTCCTTTGCTGAATAGTCGGAAGCCACCATCGGGCATGCAGATGACAGTGCTCATTGACTTGCGGACGGAGTTGAAGGTATAAACCTTGTAAAGCTTCTGCTCGGGGATCTGGTCCCGCACTGGCTGGAAATCCTGTTTCAAGTCCAGGACAAAACCCAGCAGGGCACACTCTGTTTTATTGCCGACCTGGCGTGGGAGGGCTCCTTCCTTCTCCGGAGGCTTGGGGGGAAGGACAATCGACTTGTCAGGCCAGGGAATCTTGGCTCACCTGCACTCACCCAGCACCATGCTCCCTGGCCCACCACCCACATGTTTTTCCAGCCATTCTAAGGAATCCAGCTGCTGGCCCAGCATAAGGAGAGAGGGAAATCTATTCTAGGCCTTGTCACATGAAGGATGGATCAAACTTGTTCAGCTTGACCCCAGAGGGACAAAGTAGGAGTAGTTGGGGCAGGAGAGAGATTTTAGCTTCCTAACAATCCAAGTTGCTCCAAAGTGAGGTAGGCTGTCTTGGGGGGTGTGGATTTGAGGGGCTCCCCCTCACTGGTGGGACTGTTGTTCCTTGGATGGGTGGGACTAGATGACCCCCGAGTTTCCTCCCAGCTCTGAGATTCTGTGGCCTTGTCCACTCCCTTGAGTCCCCATCATCTCCCTAGCTATATGGGGAGCTCCCAAGTCCAAGTACTGGCCTTCTCCTTCCCGATCCCCGATCTCCCCTACAGTGCCACTGAGTAAAGGCTTGGGAATTGAGGCCTGCCAAAGCCACAAGGTATGGGAGACAGAGGGATCAAACAAGCAACAACCCATGTTTCAAGTCGATTTGTTTTTGTTGAATTTGGAGAAATGGTAAAAGCAGAGTAGTGTGTCATTTTACAAACTGAAGGCATTTTCATGTGTGGAGAGCACACTGTCAGGATTCATTCTATCTTCACGGTGCTGAGATTTCCAGGGGACCCAGGAATGTCCCTTTCCCCTTCCACTCTATGAGCTCCCAGAACCCTAGGATCAAGGAACTGGCAGGAACCTTGGGGGGGGGTCATTTAGTCTCCCTCCTCCCTAGGGATTTCCATAACAGCTTCCTGACTGGTGGTCACTGATCTTTTCTAATGATTAAGAGTTCTCCACCTAAAGAAACATCTCCATTGTCAGAGAGCTCTCCTTATTAGGCAGTTCTTACCTAAAGCACAATGAGGACTTGGCCAGTGGTCAGCCCCAATTGGAGTGACCCACGTGTCCCTGTTCCAGTCTGGGGCCCCTCTCTGCCCCTCTTCCTCATCCTTTTCCCCAGACTTACTAGCACTTTGGTGGTGTAGGCACTGTTGATAGAAATGGCATGGACAAGGAGATCCAGGATTTTGGGGTTCAGGTTGTTGGGGTCGGGGATCTCTTTGTAGTGTGTGTCATCCACATAGGACTGAACAACTGTCATACGGTTGGTGGTGAGTGTTCCTGTCTTGTCTGAGCAGATAGCTGTAGCATTGCCCATGGTCTCACAAGCATCCAGGTGGCGGACGAGATTGTTATCTTTCATCATTTTCTGCAAATTGAAGGGGACATTGAGCATGCTACAATATTTAATTGTCCTCAATAGGGATTGTTAGCCCTCAAAACAGTTTGTCTGAAATAGCTTTGGGAGCAGCAATAACAACAAAAAACCCAAACACTTAACAAGAGTGAGGCTCTTAAAACATCATTTTGTAATGTTAACAGTCCCTAATGGAGACAGCAGCCATTAGTCAAATAAACAGCTTATTAGGTTGAGAGAAAGAAATGGTAATACGGTCTACTAACTGGCTGTAAATGATGAACGCTATCTGTAGCAAATGCATTTGAAAGGTAGGGATTTCCCTTCATAACATGAAATAAGGGGGCAGCTAGGTGGCGTGGTGAATAGAGCTCTGGCCTTGGAGTCAGGAGGACCTGAGTTCAAATCCAGCCTTAGACACTTAACACTTACTAAGCTGTGTGACCCTGGGCAAGTCACTTAACCCCAATCGCCTCACCAAAAAGCAAAAAAACAAAACAAAACATAACACGAAATAAGTACTGGTGAGGAGGCATCTCTAAGTTTCCTGGGTCCTACCCATAAGATATAGGTTGCTAAACTTATTCCCTTCTCCATAGGATTCAAGATTAACCTTTCCCTACTGGGCCTAAGAAATCCCTCCTTGCTAATGTCCAAAGTGACCAGGGAACTCTAGAGAGTGGGGCAGACAGAAATAAGGAATTTGGGCCTGTTGGGATGATTAAACACTGGGATGGGTAGCCCATAGAGAGTGTGGAGTCTTCAGCTTTTGAGATCTTCCCAAGAAAAAATCAATGAATGTCTCTTTTAGATGGCTTACACTCTTGGGGCCCCTTCCAACTGTATGATGCTATTTTGGGCTTTGGAGATTTTAGTCTAGGATGTCCTGATTTTAGTCTATGATTTTGGATTCTCCCTTCCTCTCTTGGGGACTGACTCGACCACCTCCATTGTAATTCTGGCTGGCAGTGGGGAGAGATTTGCCAGTGGGTGGGAAGGGAAAAAAAAATCTTTTAGAGAAAGCTTTCCAAGCATCTCTGGACTATCCTAGACGTACTTTTTGGCTTTGTGGGCCAGTCATAGAAATTAAATGCTCGTAGACCTAGAAAGGACCTTAGAAAGCATCTAGTTCAGTTCCCATATTTCTGATCCAGACACCGGCCTCCTGGCTGTTCCACTAACAAGACCCTCCATCTCTTGGCTCTGGGCATTCTCTCTGGCTGTCCTCCATGCCATAATGCCCTCCCTCCTCCGCTCTGCCTACTGGCTTCCCTGGCTTCCTTTAAGCCCCAGCTAAAATCCCACTTCCTACAGGGAGCCTATTCTAACCTCTGTTAATCCCAAGGCCTTCCCTCTGATCATTATTTCCTATTTATGCTGTATAGAGTTTGCTTTGTATATATCGGTTTGTATGTTGTCTCTCCCATTAGATTGTAAACTCCTTGAGGGCAGGGATTGTCTTTTGCCGCTTTTTATATCCCCAGTGCTTAGCACAGTACCTGGCACATAGTAGGTGCTTAGTAAAGGTTTATTGTATTATTGTACAATATTATACACTGTATTATATGGTTTTATTATTATTGTATTATAATACTGTATTATAGCATATTGTATTGTAAAAGAAAAGAAAACAGGCACCTATAGGGAAGTGGACCATAAGAGTATAAAGGCCTTTGACCCAATCAAGACTTCTGCCCAGGATTGCAAAAAGTCTAAAAGAGACTAAAGCTCAGGACCATAAGGAAGCTCGGTTTGTTTACACGGGGCTGCAGCAATCATTCAGCAACAAAGAGAATGTATGTCTGAGGTGAAAACATGAACCCCCTAGAGGAAACGAAGAGTCAATTTAGAGAAATTCTGATTTATTAAATGCCTCCTCTCTGCTCACTCAGCCAACAAGCATTTATTAAGTACCTACTATGTGCCAGGCACTGTGCTAAACACTGAGCATACCAGGAAAGGCAACGCCGCCCTCCCCCTTCCCCCACCCCCACCCCCGCCCCGGCCTAGTTTGGACTCTCATCACCTCTTACCTGAACTATTGTAACAGCCATGCCTCAACTATCTCTCCATTCCAACCCATCTTCTAGATACCAAAGTGACATTCCTAAAGCACAGGGCTGACCACATCATTCCTCAGCTTAAGAAACTCTGAGGACTCCTCCTTGCCTTTAGGATAAGATACAAACTCCTCTGTCACCACCTGGCTCCAGCCCACATCTGTAGGCTTTTTTTGCACGTTATTCCATTGACACACTCCACTTTCCAGCCCGAAATGGTTTTCTTGCTGTTCTTTACGTGGCATTCAATCTACTCTCTCCATGCCTTTGCATAGGTTGTGCCCCATGCCTGGAACATAATCTCTTCTCACCTCAGCCTCTTAGAATCTCTAGAGTCTTTCAAAGCTCAGATCAAGGGCTGCTTCTTACATGAGGTCATCCCTGATCTCCCACTGACCTCATTTTTACTTTGTATCTGTTTTGAATCTATTCGTATGTGTACATGGCTATCTTCCCTGATAAAATGTAACCTCCTTGAGGGCAGGGGACTGTTTCACTTTTTCTTTGACTCTCCAGTGCCCAGCATGGTCCTTGACGCATAGCAGGCACTTCATAAGTGATTGATTGCTTACTGAATGGCATACAAAGTGGTGATCAGCTATGGTCTCTGCCCTCATGGAGCATACAGTCTAGTAGGGGAAGATGACACTACCCCAGTGTGAAATGTGTGCCCAGTTTAAGGAGTATGTCAGCCTCTTACATTAGGTGAACTTCCTCACAGAAGGCAGTTGGGTGGGTGATGGCGGCCCCTTACCTTGACTGAGTACGCAAGGGAGATGGTGACAGCTAATGGCAGGCCTTCAGGAACAGCAACAACCAAGACGGTGACACCGATGATGAAGAACTTGACAAAGTACTGAACGTAGACAGGTGTGCAATTGGAGAGCCAGGCCCGGCCACCAATCACAAAGTTGTGGATCACGAAGTAGATGACCAGGATGACGACAGTGAATGCGGACATCACCAAACCTACCAACCAATGGCAGTCGAGGGGACGGGTCAGCGGAGAGGCACATCAGAGAGAGGGCAGAAAAGGAGAGAAGAAATAGTCAAACACCATCATATGAACTCTATGGGGCCACCCACATTTAGGGGGAGGCAGGTGTACCCAGGCATGGGCTGGAGGACAGCCAGATTGTTAAATTTTCAGTGTGAGCATTTACACCTCGGAAATCAGCAAACTGATACAAATCAGGGCTTGGTGTATAGTTTTGTTGACTGTTTTCTAGACTTAGAGTGATGGGAAAATATAGTGATAATGCAAATTCAACTTTAAAGTGTGCAGCAAGCACATTTTATATTTCCCCCCCCACAGATATCTGGCTGCTAAACCTTCACCAGCATGGTTCTGGGTGTACCTCTCTTTAAGCAAATTGGATTCCTCATTGCTATCATCATCAAATGTGAATTGTCGCCTTCTATGCTTTGGGCCAATACTGGGAATCCTGCAGGTCTAGGATTGGAGGTTTCAAGGTTTCATGGTGTACCCTGATTCATTCAAGTGCCTTCTGTTTCTGGATGCTGCTACGTCTCTGCAGCTACTTGGCCCTTCTACGCCCACTGTCTTGACTTCCTGGTAGTACTATGAGTTGCCTGCAGAGAGACTAGAGACAGTGGTGGTAGTGGTGGTGGTGGTGGTGGTGGTGGCAGTGGTGGTGGTGGTAGTAGTGGTGGTAGTAGTGGTGGTGGCAGCGGTGGTGAAGGCAGCAGCTGCAGTGGGGAGCTTCCTTTCGAAAAGGGAGATGACCTAGTATTAGAGAGGGGTGGTAAAGACAGCTCAGCCCTCAATGTAAGCTTTCTCCCCATGCAAGAAGAACAGAAAGAGCCCTGGGAAAGGGCGAGCTGTGGCAAGCCAGTGGGCAGCTGTGGGAAGGAAGCCTTCCATGTCAGGAGCAAACCCTCTCGAATTCACACTGGTCTATTAGCAGGGGTTGCCAGAATAGCACCCTGCAAATGGGGAGGGGATCATTGTACATTTGCACAAAAGATCAATTAGAAGGATGTTATTAGCTTTCGAAAAGGATTCGCACCAGGACTCCTTTTGAATCAAGAGCTCTCTAAATACATTTAAAGTAGGATTTCTATTTACAAAAATGTGATACCAAATGGAACATTGCTTTAGTCTGGGCTTGACTTGGTGACTCTTTTGAATACTTTGGTGATTCTTTCCAGTTCAATAGTTACAGAAAAAAAACAATCAAAGCTTGGTTGTGGTATAAATAGATTCACTAGGCTTATTTGCAGGGTTTTTTTTTAGAAGGGGAAGCCATTATTTGGCAAAAAGATTCAAATTTGGTTTCATTTAGGTTTTGGCAAAATAAATATAGTTTGTTTGGGTCTGGAGGGGGTCACCACTCAATTTTTTAGTTCAAGTTCCTGGTTTAGGAAAGCAGTGGATAGCAAACTCCAGCCTGCGGGCCAAATCCAGCCTGCCACCTGTTTTTGTGGGGCCCATGAGCTAAGAATAGTTTTTCCATTTCCATTCTTAGCTTAAGGACTATGCACAAACAAGTGGAGATATTTGGTCTCCCTGGCTGAGAGTTTCGGTCTCCCGGCCGAAGTTTGCTGGCCGCTGGGGTACCTGGACTGGAATTCTATCAGACTAAAGTATTTTAAATAAACAAGCCTTTGACTAAGACTTGGAAATCTTGGCTATGTAGAGATTTCAGAATGAAAAAATGATCTGCTCCAACAAGATTTCACTGAGTTGTGTGCTAGTGCCTGGAGGAGGAGATTGGTGTGACCCAAGATGGTAGCCTGGCTGTCTGTGCCAGCTGAGGCCTGTTAGTCCTGCATGGGTAGTCTTGGAAAGCAGATGGCTCCCAGCAGTCCTTGGGGACACAAGCATTTACACTGCTGCAGGTCTTCAGACTTCTGTCTGACTCCACTGTATCCCCCATGGTTCCTCAAACCTAGCTGGAAAAATCTTAACCTATTCCTCTCAGACTTTTTCTTCCTGCACACTGAATTCCAGTAAAGGACCTTGGTTTCAACTTGGTAATGCCCTGCCTTGGCTCCCTCCTTGGCACTTGGCACTCATGCTCCTGGCACCTCAAACACTGGGGGGCAACTGCCTGGACGGATTGGGGCTCCAAAAGCCCTCCTCCTCCCTAAATTAGGAGTAGGAGCTCATCTTTGTAACCCAAACAAACCCACTTCTACTAGAGGGTCACTTGTCTGTGTTCACTGCACTGGAGGTCCCCTACAATCCCTTGGGTTGGGGTCCTAGGATAGGAGTTCTTCTTGGTCTTTTTTTATGTAATAGAGCCTTTCGGTAGTCAGTCTGGTGAAGCCTATGTACCCTTTCTCAGAATCATGCTTTAAATGAAAAGAAAAACCCATTAGATTACAAAAAACCCAGTTATATTGAGATACAGTTATCACAATATATCTTTAAAAAAAAAGCAAGTTCATGGACCTTGGGGAAAGAACTCTTGTCCTAGGAGGATACTGAAATGTACAGCAAAAAGAGCAGAAGGATGGAGTTCTAGGCATCTCCAGAACAGTATTCCTATCCATTGAGATGATCAACACGCACCCACTTTGATCAGGTCCAGTGATCCAGAATATTGGCCAGACAGCCTCCTGAGTCGGAACCTACTAGGGGTAGGGGCAGTCAGGAGCTGTCTCCTTAATACCAGGACTTTGTCAATATTCCCCGCACCAGGGAAGCCCTGTGTTTCCACACGGTATCTCTAATGGTGCTATTTAGTATCAGAGGTCCTGCCTTGGACAGATCGGTAGACTTCTTGGCTTGAAAGACCTGAGAACCAGGCCAAGGATTCCTGGCCACCAACCATCTGCCACTCCCGCCAAGGCTACAGTAGAAAAAGAACAGGAGGGAACTGTGGTTATACCATTTCTACCAGGTCCTGAATACACATGAGGCCCAGAATTGGTGGGCCTTGTCTCTCATCTGGGACCTGTTGGGGCATCAGCTGGAGGAGGCCAGGAGCAGACCAGCTTTGCCGTTGGGATGGCTAGAATGTAGCACCGGAGACCTGGTGGAGGCATATGACCATGGCATCGGCCATGCTGCATTGGTTTATGAACATAATATTCCAGGTCTGCCATAACTAAGGAAGGGAGATGACAACATCATGACCTCATATGCTGACCCCATGCAATACTAGTGTCCCTGGGCAGCAAAACCTGTGAAAGGCCAAGTTTGGGGGTTCCTCTCTCCCAAATCAATCCTGGGACAAAAATTAAAAGAAACTGAACACAGTCTACAACACTGAGAAGGCCCAATGTCACCTAGCTTCCCTTCCTGGGAACAGAATTCCAAGGCAGTAGCTTATACCACCTCTTCTTCCAGGCAGCTCGACTCATCTGGGTCCACCTGGTGGCCAGAGAAGCCCAGACTAGACACTCCACAGTAATATAGGGGGAAGAATGAGCCAATGAGCTCAAGCCAGAGCCCCCCAGGTGGCTTTATCTCAATTGGGTCAGGAGGAGTCTAGGACAAATGATCCCATTCTTAATCTGGGGTAATGAGGAAGGTAAAAGATGGAATCAGAGTGGGTCGAACTCAGCTCAGGCTGCTATAGCTGGATAGAAGAGAATATAGGAAGTGGCTGAACTGGGTAGCTCTCTTTTAGGAATTCTTCTGAAGAGAGGCAGCAGGGTGGCATAATGGTCGTGTGACCCTGCGCAAGTCCTTTAACCTCTTTGTCTGCCTCAGTTTCCTCATCTATAAAATGGGAATAATAACAGCACCTACACTCCAGGGTTGCTGTGAGGCTTAAATGAAATAATGTGTGTGACATGTATTATAGAAATCCAAGCTGGGGTGTTGATTCGAATTGCCTCATGTGGATGTGTTATTTCTGAATGTGCTTTGCAAAGAAATCCTGTAAGACAGATGTTCATGAGTATGGCGTGTGTCTGGTGATACAAAGGGTAGATGGAAAAGAGTGAACAGATGTCAGCCCAGAGCAACCAGGGATGGCAGTAGTAGCTCAGAGGACCAGATCTGGGAAGCCTAAGAGTCCAGAACAGGGGTGGAGAGCTGAGTTCAGGTTTTACAGAACAAATCTTTTTACTAAGAGGATTTGTTTTGTGAAGTTTGGATTCAGAAAAGGGCCCCTCTTGAGGACCTAGAGGGCAAGGATTTGTTCTGTGAAGTTTGGATTCAGTCGAAGGGCTGCACTTGAGGACCTACAGGGCCACATGTGGCCTCGAGGCCACAGGTTCCCCACCATCATTCCAGAACCTCCTGGCTAGCCCAGACCCCAGGAGCCCGATAAGGGAAGTCTTAACAAGTGCTATAAGCCCTGGGGTAGCAGGTAAATGGCTCCTGGCTTGGCTCCAAGCACAGGAAGGAGCTGGGTGCCAGGAAGCTCAGTCTAACAAGGCTCAAGGTTCAGAACTGTCTGGAAATCACTCACCACGCCACTTCCATCATACACTGGCTTGTCTTTTCTGAGGAGTGTTTCATCTCATTCATTTTATTCATTTCTTTATTCACTCACACGACTCCTTCCCATGCAGTACCCAGCACAGGGCAGGTGCTCACAGAAGGATCCCCAGCAAATACCTGCTTTTCCAATTTGCACAGCCAGCTTGGTGAGTTTCCCCTGAAGCACAGACTTTTCCTTTTTGGGGCCATTGGCTTTCTTTTTCTCCCGCTCCTCCATCTCCCCACCCTCAGCGCTCTTCAGTGGCTGCATCTCCATGGCAACCGCCCCATCTTGCTTCTTAGCTGCATGAAAGGAAATGGAAGAACACAAAAGGGTCAGGGTCAAGGTCTGAGCTATCCATTGAAAGGGTTAAACAACATCCTTGCCTTTTCAGGAAAAAAAAAAAACCAAGCCCAGACACATTCTACTTTATTGAAATCATTTCTCTTATCAGAGAAGCAGCATGCTAGAGTGTGAAAGAGACAGGCGATCTGGGTTTGCATCTTGATTCGAATACTACCCATGCAACCCTGGACAAGTCACTCTCAGAGCCTCAGTTGCCTTATCTGTAGAGCAGAGATAGTCACCCTTGAATCACAGGGTGACTATCAGGCAAGGGCTCTTTCTGTAAAGCTTCGGAGTGCTCAAGAAATGAGAGCTGTTGTTATTTATGGCAGAGATAAACCAGTTTTTACCAAAAAGGAGTGAAAATGCTGACTTGTGGGAAAACGCTGCCTTCTGTCTCTGTGGTGAGGTGGTGGACTACAATGCAGAATGAGGCATACATTGTCAGACGTGGCCAATGTTTTGGTTTATTTCATTTAACTGTTGTTTTGTTTATTCATTTATTTGTTTATTTATTTTTGCTACAAGGGAGAGTTTTGTTGGAGACAGAGGGAATCAACAAGATTTTATAGCAAAATAGTACAGTTAAATGATACAAACCAACATGACAATATATGCCTCATTCTGCGACCTCTCTGCTAAGAGCCGGCCTTTATCACAAGATAGTATTTATCCTTTTTTTTTGGACGGGGCCAGTCTCAGCCCCCACAAATGCCTGAGAAGCTGACAGTTTGGAGAAAACTTGGGGTGAGAGCGGGGTCCCCAAACCTGGAAATCTCCTCATCTAGAGATTTAAGACGAGCTTTCTGGGAGTTGGTTGTAATAAGCTAGGCTGTAAGTTCTACACAGACCGAACCACACCATGGCCTTCCTCTGCATCTCGTCTCTCAGATCTAGTATTCTTCCAGCTTCTCCAACCTCCCTTCCCCCCATTCCAGTCAAGCCAATCTCCTCACCATTCCTTAAACAAAGTAGGCCAAATGCCTTTTTCACCACTTTGCTCTCAATCAATCGATTCGTCTAGCCATCACCAAGCATCAGTTACATGCTTATTGAGTGCCAGGCACTGTGTACCCGGGCCTAAGATGCCTCGACCCCTTCTTTCCACTTGTTCAAATCCCACCTGTTCTTTAGCCCCTCGCCTCCTAAGTTCCACCTCTCTGCTAGAGCCTACCCTTCCTGAAGTAGCCGCCAAGGGCCTCTCTCCACATGACCCCCTTGAGGCCTCATGGGCTGAGCCTCTTTGTTATCTGGGAAGTTTGTCAGCTCATCAAGCCCTGCTCCTCTGGCTGAATTTCACCTTTGTATAGAACGAGACTTGATGTCGAAGCAGAGCAATATCTGGGCAGAGTTGGCCTTGGGGTTTTGCTCTCTGAATGAAACCAGACTCACTGAGGTAGAAATCTGGGGCCTCTCCATTGCCTGGGGTGTAAAGCTGCCTACTGGTACATAGTCTTCTCTACAGCCCAGTGACCAGGAAGGGTCCCTGAGTGACTTTATCCTCCTGAGCTGGTACAAGGTGACACAATGTTTTTGCTACCAGTCAAGCAAATGGCTCAGAGCGTCACGTTCTTGGGTTCAGTACCAGAGCCTCCATCCTTCACAGTGCCCAAGGGTTCGAGAACTATTGTCCTTGTCAAGGAAGTATGACAGGATAACTCTTGGGGCTTTCTGGCTATGAGCTTACAGCATGAGTTCGGGAGACCGAGTCAGGCTTTGACGCATGTAGGCTAGAACGAGGCCAACTGAATGGCTCATCAACTGACATGCCCTGGGTTTCTAGGCCACCATGACTCAGCCCATGCATTGAGAGTCTCCGACCTTGCTAAAGCCCTCTCTCCCTGGCCACTGGGGAAGCAAGCAAAAGGGTCTCTGGCATTTCAGTTTCTCATCGGAACACTGGCTATATAGAGAGCCAGAGGACCTCCGTGCAAATCTTATCATTGACACTTACTACCTGTGTGGCCTTGGGAAAAATCACTTAATCTCTCAGGGCCTCAGTTTCCTTCTCTGTAAAATGAAGAGGTGGTACTAGATGATCTATGAAGACCCATTCAAGCCTAGATCTAGGATCCTGTGTGTGACCTTAAGAAAATCACTTCATCTCCCTTGTGCCTCAGTTTCATCATTTGTATGATGAAGGCCTTGGATCTAGGATTGTGTGATTTTATGATCTGTCCAGCCCTTCACCTCCATTCTCTCTGCTTCTTTCCTGTCTTGGGCCCCCCACTCTTTGGGCCTTCTCCCCTTTCTATCAACCCACTGCCTTGCATCAAGTGGCTGGCTTCTCCCTGGCCTGCCTCCCACAGCCTCCTTCCATTCCTTCCTCTGCTCATCCACCCCCACTCTGCGCACAGAATCCCATCTCGTTTCCAGCTACAACAACAGATATTTGCAAAGCATCCACAGGCAAAAAACATGTTGACAGATACAGAACACATAGATTGTGTGGAGGGATCTAGGCGTCACAGATACCACGAAGAAACTCAGGCTTCAGAATCTCATTCATCTCAAAGTTACCCTTTGACAAACTGCTAGTAACTAGTTGCATGATATTGGGCAAGTCACTTCATTTTCCTAGGGCTCTACTTATCCATCCGGAAAATGAGAAAAGCCATCCCTGTTCTGCTTTCTTCACAGGGCTCATGTGAAGATCAGGTGAAAGCATTCTGCAAATTAGAAAGCAATGACAGGAAGCAGAAGGGCCCTGGACTTGGGATCAGGGAGGCCTGGGTTCAAATCCTGCCTCAAACACTTACTAGTTGTGTGACTCTGGGCAAGGTCACTTTTCTCCTCCAGGGTTTCAGTTTCTTTATCTGTAAAATGATTGGGTTTGACTCAGTGGTGTTTTAAGGTCTCCTCCAATTCTAGAGCTAGGATTCTAACTCTAGCCATGCTAATCTTGTACCTGTGGTACCACACCTGCAGAGAAGGAGGGCCTGGTCACCCTGCCTGAGGCGGGGCAGGAATGATGGCTGATGACCACTAACACTACATTCACCCATTATTCTGGAACCTTGGACCCATCCCTTCACCTTTCTAGTCCTCTGTCTCCTGGGCCTCTAAGGGATCTTTTAAAGACAAAAAACACAATAAGAGTCATCATTTGGAGGATTTTGTCCAGATCTAGGCAATCCCACTGGAGACCATCAGAGTTAGGAAGGGCTCACCGGAGCCCACCTAGTCACACGACCAGAAAATGTTAGGGCTGGAGGGGACATTTAAGCTCACCATGCCCATTTCCCCCATTTTACAGATGGAAAAGCTAAGGCCCAGAGAAAGGGAAGAGATTTGCCTTCGATCACACATTAAGTAGCAGAGCTAGCATTCAAACCTATTCTTCCAGTAATGTGCTCATGGAAATTCCTTTTGGGCAGAATCATCATTTCTGTAACTCCCTGCCTAGCACAGTCCTTTGTGCAATGAATGCTTGTTAATTCAGACCAATTGAATCCCCTACCTTCTCAAACACATCAAACTGAGCATATGTTAATTGCGTCTTGATTTATCTCTTGATCATCTCTTTTTTTGGGGGGGGGCCAGACCTGTGATTTCATCAGGGGAGAGAATTCCCAGTATGGACGATTGAGAGCCCAATAAAAGGGAGGGGGCCCAAACACAATGACTTCGCAGGACTTTTCCAGGCTATGATTATATATACAAATAACAATTTGTACATGCCATTGTATAAAATGAGGGGATTGGATTCGATGGTCTTCTAAGGTGTCCTCTAGCTACATAGACCTAGGATCCCATGATGCATTATGCTACCCTTGTCCCCGCTGTACTATCTCTTTGAGAAGGAAGGGTTGGTCTCTGAGACCCTGTGCTTTTTTCCTTTTAAAATGATCACCTTTCTATGACTTGCTCAGGGTTGCATGGCCACCCAGTGCAGAGGTCAGTTTGGAACCCAGGTCTTCCTGACTCCAAGGTCAGCCCTCTAGCCATGCCATTACTCTGCCCCTAAGCATTAAGATTGTCTCATACACCCCAAATCAATACTCTCACAATAATGCCATTTGGGGGATACTCGTAAACATTTATCAGCTGGCTCTCCAAAACAAAATGTACGGGACAACCTTTTATGTTTCATTAGCATTATTCTCCATTTTCTCCATCCATTTCTCGACAACTCACAAAACAATAAATCAAGAGCTATTTTGTAATGTTTGTGGATTTCTGAGGTATAAAGGCTTACGCTGAGAATTTAACAATCAACACTCTTGAGCCAGTACGAGCAAGCTCCAGGACCTCACTGGTGCCATCGGTGTAATATAACAGAAAACATATTGAACCTGAGGTCAGAGGATCCAGGTTCAAATCCTGGCTCTGCTCTTTATCCTAGGTGGGTGACCTTGGGCCAGTCACTTCTGTAGGAGCCTGTTGCACTCTATGTAAAATGAGGGATTTGGACTAGCTTTCGTTCACTTTGGGCTCTCAAGCCTTTGATGTTGGAGTCACATGACCCCCAAATGAGCCAACACCATTTTAGCCTCCCTCCTCTTTGGGGTGGCCCTGGTTTTATCTTGGCTCTATGGGACATGGTTTTCAAAGGCTCCCTTTCATTTTACAGACGAAGAAGCTGAAGTCCCAAGAGGTTATTAAGGGACAGGCCTCCAAATCGTGCTTCCTAAGTCTTTGGGGAGAAAATACTCAGATGGTGGCAAATAACAAATAGCATAAGCAGATTGGGTAAGTGGGGAGGGAGCTGGGTGCTGCCAACACACCATATGCTGTTGACATCCATGCCAGCAGGGATGGTGTCGTGGTACCTGATGCCACGTGACTCAGATTTCCTCTCTATGCTGAGGATGGAGCTACAAGGCCAGTCCATGGCTAAAGTGTCAAATCACAGGCCATAGGTATTTCATTTTCTAGGACTGGTTCTGTGTTCCCCTCAACAGAGAGAATTCCCAGTGAAGAATTTCCTTTCCCAATACAGATTGGCACCTTCTCTGTAACTTATGATGTTAGAGAGAGCTTAGAGGACTGAGGCAGGAAATGAATGGCCCAGGGACACACAGCTAGGCTGGCTCAGAACAGTCTTGAGTCTGGGCTTGGTCACTAACTTGTGTGATCTTGGACAAATTCCTTCTCCTTTGTGGGTCGAGCCTTCCTAAGTCAACCCGCAGCCTTCGTTTGACACCACAGACAATCAACAAAGCAACCACTAGAGCCCTCATTCATAGCATTTGGTTTCCCAGGTGTAAATTTTCACACTAAAAATTTAACAGTCAACTCCCCAATTTGAAGTTGGCTCCGGCATACCTTTACATGTACGTACATATGTAAGTGTATATATACACAGTTATCCCTTCCACATTGTGACTTTCCCCATCATGGTTTTGATTTATCACAGGGTGGCAAGAGAAATTAAATGGGAATTTGGGGGGAGTTTTGCGGAAGCCAAAGACAACCAGCAGATGACACAGAAAAAGTTTAGAAACTCAGAAATGCATAAAGTATATATATAGTATTATATAATAGCAATCCAAATTTTACAATAAGGTACTGTCAACACCCCATAAGAGAAAAAGGAAAAATTCAGACTCCTTCTCCGGTACGAAGGGAGAGCCAAAAATATTTACGTGGATTTTCCAGATCTTGGGGGCGCCCTGCCCCTAACCCCCAGGACGTGGAAGGGATAACTGTATGTGTGTATCTTTAGATCAAACTATGGCCATGTAGCTTCTGAACAATTCTCCTTAACAAAGAGGAAGGATGGCAAGGAAGCTGCCATGGCGAGGATCTGGCCAGGAAGACCTGAGCTCAAGTCCCACCTCTTATAGCTACTGGTGGCGGCATGGCTCAGGCCAAGTCACTTACCCTCTCCGTGCCCTGGGCAAGCCGAGCGCGAGCGATGCTGCATTGGTAGAGGGACTTCCTCATCAGAAGCTCCCTATGCCAATGGAATCACAGATCTGGCCCCAAAACGGAAACAAACAAAAGCCCAAAGGAAGAAGCGGGGCGCCTAAGGAGCTGGGAAGCTGACGTAGAGAGAAGAGCCTGGGATGTGCCATTGGAGAAGCTGAATTTCCTCCAGTGTAAAATGATGGGGTTTGGCCTAGCTGGTCTTTAAGGCCCCCCGAATCCAGCGTTGTTTGGCATTTTATGCTTAGATCAGCATCCCTACTTGTTCTGAGACTCACTTACCTCCTTTCTTAATGCTGCTGAGAGTAGGTTTTAGAGAAGTGTCCAGAGCCCAGGAGTGAGCAGCATCAAGGCTCTTCTCCCTCTCTCCTCCTCCCTCCTCCCTTCTCCCTCCAGTTGGGGCTTGAAGCTAGGGGAGGGGAGCGGGGGAGGGGTGGGAGCTGGCCCCACGGTTTTCCAGTTACCTTTATTCTGGTTATTCTCCACAGCCCCATCCTGCTGTTTGCCTACAATGGAAGAGGAAGGACAGACACAACACTTGAAAACAGACAAACATAGCTCATAGACACACGTGTAGACACATGCACATGAAACACGGCTGCCGAAGACAAACGGGGCCCATGGTGATTGATGTTGAGTGACTGAGGAAGATGAGGAGGACAGGTCACAAAGAGGAATTCGTTGGGTGACTGCTTGAGGGGAACCTTAGGACCTGAGGGAAAAGATTATTAGGTACCCAACCCTGAGACTCATTCACTTTCCTCATCTCTCTGGGCCTCAGCCTCCTCCTTTGGAGAATGGGAATGCTCATCTCAAAGACAAACTGGTCCCTGATCCCAAAGATCAATGGAGCACTACCTTGAGTTATTGGCACAGCCTTGACTTAAGCTATAGACTGAATCCTAACTCTAGTCTTGGACTGACCCATGACTCCTAAGCACAGGCTAAGCCTTAACTCTCACCAACTGACTTCAAATGGGTGCCGTTGATCAGGAGGGGAGCCATATAAGACTAAACTACTCGAGAAAGTCCATTCCTTTTGCTGGCAGCTTCGTCAGACACGCTAGCTCACTGACAGTGAGTGGCCTTCTCTTTACAGATGATGGATGGCATGCAACTGGACCGAACCACCTTCTCTCTCCCACATCTCACCTTAAAAATGATTGGTTGGCTACTGGGTTATAAGTTGGTGAAAAAACCCAAGGGGAACCTCCCTGGTCTCAGCTTTGAAGTCCTGACTTTCGAAGTGGCGGGGCTTTGGAAGGTGGATGCAGAGTTAGTAAACTATGAGGTAGCCCTCCCAAAATTAGCAAACATATCACTTTTGGTTCTGGCCTGTGATTTCATCAGTGTAGGGAGACCTCCGTCTGGATCTGCCAATGCCCATCTGTGTAATTCATATTTCTGTCTGGGACACTGAGGGGCCAAATGACTGGCCCAAACAATAGGTGTCACAGGCAGAACTGGAACTCAGGTCCTCCTGACTCCAATCCTAATTTATGAAAAGCCAGAGCAAACAAATTAGTGGTGGGATCATTCATGTTCTTGAAGGGTTCGTGGAAAGCAGAGGATCTTCCCTTGGGATCCATAGACCTTCCCAAGGAGTCTGTAGATAGATTTCAGGGAGTCTGTGAACTTGGGTGGGGAAAAAAATTGCATTTTTATTTTTACTAACCTCTGACCAAAATTTGGCATCTGCTCCAATTGTGAATGTAGATAACAAACAATGGGTTCATTGTTTTCACTGGACTGCCAACACAAAAAAGTTATGAACCCCCCCCCATTTAAAGAATGGGTTCCCCAGGGTATTGAAGTGTTTGTTGTAGGACTTAACTTCTGCCACTCACTAGCCATGTGACCCTGGGCAAGTAACTTTATCTCCTTCCTCAGTTTCCTCTGTTAAATGAGGGAGTTGAACTCTATGACCTCTAGGGTCCTTTTCAGCTGAAAGTTTGTAGTCCCTTAATCCCAGGGTTTAAATATTCACAGGGTGATTTGCTCAATTACTTTGTATACCTTGTGAGTTTGTGACTGGTAAGACACTTATTAATTCATTCAAAGTGACAGAGGGGCCACCAAAATTCAATCGTGAGCTGTGGTTGCCTCTGGAAATCCAGCAGGGCTGAAGGAAGATAAGAGGAGAAATCGCTGGGTATGTCGTTTCTGAAATCAACTTCTGAGGGATCTATTCAAGTAGAAAGCAGAGGTGGGGGTGGGGTGGGAGAAGGGGAACCTGGTACTGTTAACGATCCTTTCATGGAAATCCAGGGCACTGGGGGAAGTTGAAATAGCTCCTCCAAGTCAATAGTGGGGCTGAGTGGATAGGCAAGGAGTGCCTGTGGAGAGAGGAAGGAGAGAGGATTCCCTGGAGGGTCAGGAGCCAGGTGGGGAAGGGAGAAAGAGGAGGAGGAGGAGAAAGAAGAAGGCTAAAATATGCTTAGCACAAAACCATTCTATTCCTCCCATGAAAGCAGGTATGAGGGGTTAAGAAATGGGACTAAAGGATGGGATAAACTGAGACTCCAAACACATTGGCACTGGACCCAAACTACAGCCAGCCGGGTTACAGAAGAAACACTCAACTTGGAGCCAGAAAGACCTGGGTTCAAATCCCACTTCAGACAATTCCTTACTGTGTGAACCTGGGCAAGTAATTTCCCTTCTCTGGGCCTCAGTTTCCTCCTCTGTAAAATAAGGAAGTTGATCGAGATGGCTTCTAAGGTCTCTTCCAGCTCTAAATATATGATCTTATGAGAACTATGGCTGGGGTGGGGGGAGGGAGGTAGAGAGAGACAGGGGAAGGAAGCCAGTGGGCTTTAGGATGGAATGCCCAATGGCCTCACTGTAGTCAATTTCCAAGGAGCCAAAATTCCAAGATAGAGGCTCAAATGAGCTAAGAGATTCACATAATGGATGCATTTCTTTCCCCATTCTCCTCTCCTCTGCCCCCCTTCCCACCTCAAAAAACATCGGTGGATTTTTTTTTATCTGTAATATCTTAAGAGACTGTTCTGATTATGGGAATTTGACCAGGCTGGCTCCACTTTGAAGGTTCTGTGGATGACTCATTTCCCCTGTAATGCTTAACTTGCTCACTGGATCATTTGGAAGCTTGTCAGTTAATACAACAAGGCCTCACTAATTCAGCTTTGGAACCTGTGATAGCCAAGAGGAAGACGGTAGATACGTCTGATCCCCTTTTACAAACAGAGTTTGATTCCTAGCTGCACTTTTAGCGGCAGCAAAAACTTGCAAATAAAATTGGTGTTCGTTGACGTAGGGGGAGAGGTTGCTGGGGTCGGGGGAGGGAAGACCAAATAAAGTGTGGCTTGCCCATAGGATCATAGAGCTGGAAGGAACCCACTTATTTTATAGATGAAACTGAGCCCCAAAGAGGGTAAATGACTTGTCCAACTGAGGTTTGACCCCAGGACTCCTGACTCTTCCCGCTCAATTTCCTTGAGGGGATTGGCTATATGATTGATAAGGCCCCTTCCAGCTCTAATATTCTATAAGGTATACAGTATAAAATTAGCCTTGGCCACTTATTAAAGCAAGCCTCCAAGGACTGCAGTTTAGCAATTCCTTGGTGAGCCAATAAGATCTGCCTATTCTTGAAAATGATGCATGCAAATACCTTCTGATCCCCCCTCCCCATTTGTCTGCATAGGTAAGGTTTTCCTTTCTTTCTAGAGCTTATCCTTCATGGTGGGGACCATGGAAGTGGAGACTGCTCTCCAGAAGGGCTTGGGCTCTAGCCTCCCTCTCCTCCCCCTAGGGGATTGCCTGGGGAGGGGGTGTGGTGCTGTTTGAGGTGCTGAGCTCTGCAGGCCGAAACAAGTAGCTATGGAAACGTTGGTTCTGTGCTTGGGCAAGCTCCAGGGGGCCTTGGAGATGCTTCCTCAACTATCTTCAAGGGATTAGATGGGGAATGAGGCTACTGCATCATCTTTCCAGGACTGGATGAGGGGATTTGAGGTTCTCCAATGAGAAAGGAGGAGGAAGGCTGCCTCACAAGGGGGCAGCCTTGTGGCCTGGCCTGAAGCCAGGAAGGTGGTCCTCTTGACCTCTTTTTAAGCAGCTGGCCTCAGTGGTTCCAAGGCCTGTGACTAAATGGCACAGTGGAGGATAGAAGGCTGGGTCTGGAGTCAGGAAGACCTAAGTTCAAATCCTGTCTCGGACACTTACTAGCTATGTGACCCTGAGCAAGTCACTTAGCCTCTGTCTGCCTCAGTTTCCTCAACTGTAATATGGGGATAATAATAGCACCCCCCCTCCTAGGACTGTTGTGAGGATCAAATAAGGTAATATTTATAAAACACACTGCAAACCTCAAAGAGTTATAGAAATGCTAGCTATTAGCTAGTATTATTATCTGCTTGTGGGCTTGTGGGTAGGGGTTGCTGAGTCTTATTTTTAACTTTTTGTATACTGAGTAAGGCTCCCCCCTCCACCAGTGCCACTCCCACCTCCTGCTGGGGTTCGAAAATACTCAAGGTTCAAAGGGTCCTCCTCTGGGATTTGAGCTCTGTCTTCTAGAAGGCCCTTGACAATATGCAAAGACATCATGCTGGAGGGGTAAGCCATGAATGTGATACTAATAGCGACTTAGTTGAAGAGATAAGCTGTGTGAGCAGAGAGAAGAGCCCTGAGAAGAGGCAGCTCTGGACAAGGAAGTCTGGGGTGAGAGAGGAGAGAGAAAGGTACTATCCCAAGGCTTTGCCTAGAGAGGGCAGGCCTGAGGGAAGAAGCAGGTGGCTTGAGAATAAAGACACCTGAGTTCTATTTTGGACACTGCCACTAACTAGCTGTATGACCTTGGGCAAGTCATTTCACATCTTTGTGAAATCACTGGGGGCAACACAGTGCACAGAGCACTAGGTCTGGAGTCAGGAAGAGCTGAGTTCAAATTCAGCTTCAGACACTTACTACTAGCTGTGTGACCCTGGACAAATCACTTCACCTCTGTCTGCCTCAGTTTCCTCAACTGTAAAAGGGGGAGGTAATAATAGTACCTACCTTCCAGGGGTGTGAGAATCAAATAAGATAATAATTGTAAAGTACTTAGTACAGTGCCTAGCACATAGTAGGTGCTATAGAAATGCTCACTCCCTTCCCTTCCCCTCCCCTTGGTTTCATCATCTATAAAATAGGGTGGTTGGATCTCCAGCACCTTGGGTAATTTTCAAGTTTAAAGGCCAGTTCTATGCCAGATTTTAGCCCTGTGTTACTTTGGGTAAATTATCTTTCCTCTCAAGACCTCAGTTTTCCCCTCAGTAAAATGTGGAGATCAGACTAGCTGGCCTCTGACTGGGTCAGAGTCAGGTCAGGAATCCCTTGGTGGTTTCAGGATGAGCTCCTAGCCCATTCCTTGTAGGGGGATTACAGCAGGGCTCTGGAAACCTTCAAGGGTCATCTAAATGTAAATTATGATGATGACAATGGCAACAATGATGATGATGATGATGATGATGGATTTCAGCTCTCTGGGTACCTGCTAGAGGGT